AACTGAACTGGGCTGGACTGGACTGGACTGGACTGAGCACAAATCGGTGTGGTTTAATTGCCATTGAGCCAAGCAATGGATGCTGTGCCATTTTATTTGCCACTTTTGATTGTGGCTTGTTGTAAACTGTCCCGAGATGCCAGTAGATGGATGGTCTACAAAAGCTTTAAATACATACATACATACACACACTGAAACTTAGCCTAGCCTAACTCACAGGGTGGTTGTGAAGATTAAATGGAGAGGAGGTGGTTTATATGAGCTGCCTTGGGTTCTTTACAAAACAAAACAAAAATAAAATAATTAAAGAACAGCCCGACTGTTTGCATGTCATGCTAAGCTGTCGTAGGTTGTTACTGTGGGTGTCACAGAGACAGTTAGTGTGCTACATGAATCAGAAGTTTTCCTGTGGGTAGTTTTACACACAGGGCCACCCTAAGAACCCGCAGGCTTCAAGCAGGGTGGGTGGCTTCTACGCAGAAGGGCTTGGCATGACATGCCAAGCCAGCAGGGCAAGTTTTCCATGAGTCCATGGAACCGGCTAGCAAAACCCACTACCACTCTTCACAATCTCACTCTTGTTGACACCATTCACCCTCACCCCTTCTTAGGCTCAATGCTTTGTTTTTGCAGGTTCCATAAGAAAGGGGGAAAACTGAGCATTCCAAAAGAGCCTGCATTTTTTTCTCTGTATATTCCTCCTTTTAACTTCTGCAGAAGAACATTGGAGCAAACAACCACTGATAGGAATTCTGTGCAGACTTCCTTTCCATTTCACAACTCTGCCATCAAAGTGAAGAAACTTCCCCTCCGTGTTATTGCTCTGGTTTGAAATGTGCACAATATCCACCTTCCTTTCATTTCTATGAGATTTGTCCCACCATTTTGCTGCTCTGCTGTGAGATTTGTATAATTTTTATAATCCCACTCAGTGCTCTTTAAGCCATTCCTGTGCATTTGACAGCTAGGAAAGGAATTGACAGTTGTAGGTGAGAAGGCAAGATGACATTTGCAAGAACAGTGATCTTACAACACCTTGCTTCAAGTCCAGTTCTTGCCTCTGTGTAACACGGAGCAGCCTTTGCCTAAAAGGAAATGCTCACTACCAAGGAAAGAAGGAGCGTGTCACAAAGGTGGGCACTGGCAGGGCAGTGGTGGAGCCAAAGGCAGCTCATGGCTGGCTGCAGAAGAAAAGGTAATCTGGGGTGGGGAGTCCACTTCAGTGCAATGTGTAGCTGCCCTTAAAAAAATGTTTGCTAGCAAGGGAAGCCCTGAAATGGAGAACTTTGACAAGATGGGGATGCAGGTGTGCTGGACTGGACAGGAGACAGATGGACTTGCCCAACAAAAAACACCCCCAAGAGCAACAAAGCCTGCAAGTGTATTCCTGGGTTTGCACAGGTAGACGAAAGTATTTGGTTTTGCATCCAGCGTGTGGACAGGGGTGGAAGTTCCATTCAATGAAGCATCAGAACTTTCCAACAGAGCAATTCGGCTACTCTGGCTGAATCTAGATGGCCACTCATGTGGTTTTGCACAAGACTCCAACAAATACATTAAGTAACAAACTTATTCCTGTGTTCATAACACTTCCTTCGTGTGAACTGATGAGGGGAGGGGAGGAAGTTCCTCCCATCAGCTGGCAATCGCAGCAGACCAATTGTCAAGAGGGAACACCTCTTCTTTATCAAGACTGCTTCACCTTACATTGAAGCAAACATGCCTTATCCTTCTGTCCTGTGACTGCTAGCTGTTGAGTGTACAGGAGATTGCTGAGAAGTGAGCAGAGGCACAAAATTATGCAACCTGTTTAGCAAGGCAGTTGAAGGTGGGGGGATTTGCATAAATTCCATGACAAGGCAAAATTAAAAACAGCAGCAACAAGTTGAAAAATGTTTTCCCACGGGTGTCCAGTATAAAGCAAGTTGTGACATGGAGGGCATTGACAAGATGGATGTATGAGAATGCTTGGCTAAATAGTGCACAAGTTGTCTTTCACTCTCGTACAAGAGCACAAGAAACCCCTTCCTCCCAAGACAGCTGGTGAACATCTCTACGTTCGAACATTTTCAGAAAAAATATTTCCTATTTGCAATATGGTAAATAGGCGGTTTCCATCATCTGTCATCAGCCAAGCAGACCAATTGCGGAATGGGTGCTCACACAGGGAATGAGGATTTCTCCACAAAGTCCACTGGGATACATGCCAGCAGCAGGCCGAAGGACTTATGAATGCTGAAGCACTCGTGAGAGGCACTGAGGAAGAAACAAGCCATGGCAGGCGGCCAAGCTGCTGAACAGCCGTTGGAAGTGATCAACAAGCCAACCAACCACTGTGGCTTCCTCATGATGGCTTAGCATGATGTGTGAATGCACCCAATTGGTTAACAAACCACACTGAGGAAGCACTGCCAACGCTGATGTCATGACAAACCTCCCTGAAACATGCAAGAGTGACAACCCACCATGGGTTGTCATGTCATGTGTACCACGTCTCTCTTCTGTGTTTGTTGGTTTTGCTGCCTGGAGTACAGTTGATTTTGGTACATGAAGATTTGATTCATTTGAACAGGTACATACAGTAAAGACTCCTAAAATAATTTGCTTCCTAGAGCTTGGAGTGCTGAATTTCTGGCACAAGCAACAGCTAAATATGTCTAAGGGTGCTTCTAGATGGAGGGTTCCTCATGCCAGCAATCAGAAGGCATTGTGCAGCTCAGACATCTTTTGCTTCTTGGCAGATTTTCTGTATTAAGGAAAAAGGCAGAAGAAGGAATAAGGAAACCAGAGAGGGTCACAAATAGAAAACGGCATCATCTGGACCCCCTCCCCAGTAACGCAGGGTGATGTCACCCTGAAAGCTTTGTCTGAAAGTACCCTGAACATGTGTTGAGAGAGACAGTCACACACATCCTTCATTCCCTCCTCTTGATGTCAGAAGGACTTTGAAGTGCTTAAGCTATATGAGATTGCACTTTAGAGGGGAACAGAGCAAGTCTGTGCCATTTTCCCCTGAATAACTCCCACAGTCTTCACCGGCTCATAGTCTCTACTAGGGAGGACTACTTCCAGGTTTCAGGAGACCCCCATGGTAAAGCACAGATTCCTAGAATCATAGAGTTAGAAAGGGCTAACAAGACCACTGGATCCCGCTCCTGAACAATGCAGGACTGCAAGTTAACGCATCTCTAGCAGATGCTTGTCCAGCTGCATCTTGAATGCCTTCACTGCATGATAGCCTCCCAAGGTAATTGGGTCCATTACCACAGTGCTGTGATAGGAAGTCTTTCCCGATGTCCAGCTGGAAACCTGACTTCCTCTAATTTGAGTCCCTTATTCTCGGTCCTGCACTGTGGGATGATCAGGAAGAGATCCTGGCCCTCCTCTGTGTGACAACCTTTCAATTACTCACTAGCATATCCCTCTCCATCTTTTCAACACTAAGCAAACCCAATTGTTTCATGTGATATGGAAGTTATACTTGTATTAATGCAACACAAAACAGCACTGACTTTTTTGCAGCTACATCAAACTGTTGTCTTATATTCAACGTGTGATCTACAGCGATTCCAAGATCTTGCTCGGTGCAGAACTTGGTATTTCTCCCCATTAAATTTCATTCCATTGATTTTAGCCCAGTAGACTAATATATCAAGTTCACTTTGAGTTTGGTTTAGTTTAGTTTAGTTTTGTTTCCAAAGCTTTGCTGGAGTCAGGATATGTTATGTCCATACCATTCCCACACTCCACCAAGGAAGCTACCCAGGGAAAAACTTCGATCTGGTTTGTTTGGCATTCTTTATTCCTGACAAATATATGCTGGCTTCTACTAATCTCTGCATTGTTTTCAAGGTGCTCCAGAAATTTCCCAGAAAATGATGCCAGACTGACTCCTTTTCCTCTTGAACTCATTCAAGCAAACTAATTAGGTGTTCTTTAACCATTTGCCTATCAGTCGCCAAATGCAGTCCTGCCTCTTCATCTCCACTTCACCTTTGGAGCTTTTCTATGTGAGGCAGATACTGAATGCTCACCATGCAGATTTATTGCACACTGGCAATACCTTGCTGTGGTTGTCCACATTGTCTTTAGACAACATTGTGATACCCCAGGTTCACTTCTGTTTTTAAGGGCACTTTTCCAGGTTCTGTTTGTTTGTTCTTTTAGGATGCGGAAAAGGAAGGGGGCAGGAGAAGACAGAGGAAAACAAACACAAATTCATATCTTGGCCTTTACCGTCATCCATGTCGGCCTTCCCCAACCTGCCCTCCAAACATGTGTGGATTGTAACACTCATCACCCCCAACCAGCCAAACCATAAATCCCAGCCAATGGCCATGCTGGCTGAGTATGATGGGTCTTGTAGTCTGACACACCTGGGAGACACCTGGTTGTGGGAGGTGGGCCTTTACTTTCTTGGGCTGTGTTAACTCCCACTGATTGTGTTCTAAGAGGGATGGCTCCTAGTGCCATCCCTCAGAAGGGACTGTGCAGCCAGTTCATCTTTTTGTAAGAAAAAAGATGAAAAATGCAATGGGGAAATACAGAAGGATTACAAGCAGAGATACAGGGATATATAGATTTTCTTCAACTGTTCCATCAATGTTTTGCAGATCAACAGGCCTTTTTTTTCCATTGCAATAAGAGTTTTTTAAACAAAACTTTGCTTTACTTGCATTAATGCACACTTGCATATTTGCTCAGCATTTCATCTGAATAATCACTCATGAATGTGCATTTCTACAAGTGTGCTTTAATGCAAATTAGCACAAATTCTCCTTAAAAGTGAAAAAACAATGCACAGGTCTACAGAGATGTCAGACATCTCAAGCATTACCCAAAGCAACTCATTACAGTACTTTGCCCTTTCAAGCTTATTCTGTATTCATCAGATGGGTGATCCCTGGAACCACAAATATTATTATCCACCCTTCAAAATTTTGTAAATTCACTTCCCTGTATCCTTAGGGGTGGTATAGAAATGACATAACTTCAGAAGGCAGAGTTATTCAATGTGGTTTATTTACTGTGTGAAAAACACTATGCAAAACAAAATCATTTTGGAAATCTAGTGGACATTCACATAAAGGATGACAGACTACAGAACAAGTATCATAAGTAAGCGTAAAATGCAACTCACAGCATTCCCCAACAAGTGAAATTTTCACACAGCTGTTATAACTGGGCCTTTACCAGTGCCTTGATGTGCATAGATCAAGCAATAGCAGTGCTTCTCTCTTTTCTTTTAAAAGAGCTGTTCCTGTAGACAGCATTCTTGTGAAAATCACAAGTGGAGACCAAGCCAGTTTTACAGATAAGTTGGCAAACTTAGCTATTGTTCTTAATTTTCAATGTACACTCAAACCTGTTTCCAAATAGCAGACTCTGTCGCTCAGCTATACCCCAAGCTTATTAGGAATGTTTAAAAAGCAGCTGAATTATGCAAAGGAGATTGCTTTTCAAGAATTAAATCAAGAAATCCCATATACTTAGCAAATACAAGGATGTGCTCGCCTTAATGAGGGCCCTGCTTTAATTCTTTTTGTCACACCTTGTGCAATTGCATTTTTCTCCTTAAAACTCTCCTCAGTTTAAGAAGTTGGTTAATACTGGGAGATGACTGAAGTTGCTGTGCCAAAATTCTATGGGAGAAAGAGAGGAAAAATAAACTCTAAATCACACCCAGATCAAGCATTCACATGCAAGTTTCTGCTGTTCAGTCTTTCTAAAGTGGCATGAAGAAAAGAAGTTTTGGAACTGTGCAGTAAACAAGTTAAGTGCAAGCAATCACTTTTTTCCTCTAGGGATACAATTATAGTAAACTTGTCTTTACCTAAGCCCACAAGGAGACAGATGGCCAATATACTACTTAAGAGGAAGTAGGAAGAAAAGCTTCTTCTAGGAGGAGCTACCAAATGCCCTAGGGGTTAAAGCACTGCAGTTGCTGATTTGATAGTGAGACTTATGCACATCCTGCCAGTCCAAACGATGATCAGCAGGGGAATCAGTACAGTCTTTATGTGGATTATTGGCATCAGGTTTGCTGGTTCTGTACACCTGGCATTTGCAAATCCTTCTTTTGGGAGGCCACTTTAGGCTTAGGAAAACCCCATGAGCATGATAAAACTTCTCTGAAAACATTCATCATATTGCCCTGTGGATTATGCTTTGATTCTAGCAATGCTCCAGTGGACATGTATGCATGAAAGGCCATCTTGGAAAGGAAGGCTTTTACATCTTCAGACATGCATTGTTTGGTCTAAAAGAATTAAAGTATATCATGATCTTTGGGTTCTTACAGATGAGGCTTTGTTCTGTAATTGCCCCACCTCATTCTCCGAATGTTATGGGTGGTCAAGACAGAGAAGCCCTCTGTCGGGAAAGTATCCTTAAACCAGAAATGTCTCTGCTGTTTTCACATAAGGAACCTGGTAGAGGCTCAGCTATTGCTAAACTTGATAATTGCAACTGTCATGTGGGAAGTCTGGTCAATGACAGCTTCCCCTGGGCATCAGTTACCATATTGTTGGCACTTAATACTGATAAGTTTCCCCATTGGCTTTGTCAAAATTAACTCTTCCGAGTCTCCAGTGATGTATGCATTCCAGCTCTCATATTTGGACACTAAGTGTTACCTTTGTAGTATAGCAAGGTACAGCCCCTGTTAAGAGAAAACATAAACAATACAATGTTAGCTCTCAAACATTGACTGATCACAGCTTACCTGCTGAAGACTGGCAAGTACTGAACCAACTTTCTCATATACTCATTTGAATAAACTATTACTATACACTTGAGCTCATATCTTGCAAATAATTTTTCACTAATATTTCCACTGAAATCTATGTGCTCTCTTTGTGCAAATGAAAACTCTTATGCTGAAAATTCCATTATCTTTATATTACTCCTAAAAATGAATGATCCTGTTATACATGGGAACATTTACTAAAGAAATACGAGACTGTAATGCAAGAGCAGGTGACTTGTGACCCTCAAGCTGATTTGGCCTACAACTCTCATGATGTGCCACCGTAGCTTATGCTGGCTAGGGCTGATGGGAACTGTGGTCCAAAACATCTGGAAAACAGGTTTCCCATCTCTGGTGTAATGGATGTTATGCAGTCAAGAACAACTTACAAGCCCAGCCAGGCAGGAGGAAGACAAACACCATCCTGGAAATACAGCTAAATGTTTGCTGAGGAACCATGAGGGTATGGCCAAGAATATTATCTAACTGGATTTTTATATTTTTAATTCTCCTCCATCAGTGCATGCCTGAAGGCCTCTTAAGTCCCCTCGCTTCCACCTATTGCTTTTCCTGATGGAAGGTCCAGGGGCGGACGGGATGTTCATTTGCAGCGCCCAGGCTGACCTGACTTCCGGCTTCCAGATCAACCTCCTCCTGCTGCCAAAGAGCACAGCAGGAGTCCAACCTGTCCCCGTCTTCACTGTGCCGTCTTTTTGCTCCCTTTTCAGCCACAGCCATATAGTCCAAAACCAGTATTGTGCTATGCAGCCATAAGCAACTCCTTTCTCCTTCAAACCCACTCCTCCCTCCTGACATTTTTCCATTAAATTTACAAACAATGACTACTATTTCAATGGAATACAAGACATCTCTCTATAGGAGAGAGGCCTAGCTAGGTGACTGGTATGCCCACCTGAGTGTTGATTGCAGGTGGGCAATTCCAAAGCCCCTTCTGCTTACCCTCCTGATGGTGCCTTGACTTTGAACCAGGTTTGGACTGGACAGCCCATCAAACAGAAGGTAGCTCCAAACAGAGGACAATTCTCAGCCAGCTTTCCAAACTAGAAAGTCTCTATAAGTAGGACACGTGGCTGTCTAGTCCAGCCCTCTGTTCATTGCAGCAAAACACACAGCCAGAGCAATTCCAACAGATGGTGGCCCAGTTCTCTACTTGAAGACCCCCAGTGCGGGAGAACACACCACCCCATATGTCATTTTAAACTGCATTTCCAACACTTTGGAAATAAAAAAGGCATTATATACAGCATTGGCTAAGCATCAGCTGAATTGTTTGGTTCTGGGCACAGCTTCAGAAGTATATTAATAAAATGGAAAACAATTGGAACAAGATTATAAAGGCCCTAGAAGACATCCCATGTGAAGGAATTATATGTTTAATCTTGAGGAAAAGATGTATTACCCATATTTTAAATGTAATTGGAAAGAAGAAGGGAAACAACTGATCACACTATTCAAAAAGAACCGTACATGAAACAATGAGCTTAAATTGCTGGCAGCTAAATTTGGGATACACTTCTGGAAGAAGGTCCCACCCATATGAGCAGTTTGATTATAGAAGTTTCAAACAAAGGGTTGACTGCCTTGGGCAGTTGCTTGTCTGACTCGCTGGACCCCTTCCAACTGGATGGGTGACATAATCAATATGCTTTTGCTTCCGTGGCTCAGCCATGTGGCTCCTGTGCCTTCTGGGCTTGCCTGATGAAAGAGGAGGCAGAGCTTGCTGCTTGAGCACTTCCAGGGCTTGCTTCTACAAAAGCAACTTTGAAGGCAGTGGCCATTTGCTCCCTCTCCTTCCCAAATGCTGTGGCAAGGAGCCCTTTTCTGGACAAAGTTGCTGTTCCAGAGACCTGCTGTCTTGAGACAGTTGCAGCAGGCCTAAGAAACCTTTTTCCTATGGAGGAACTGAACAATCCAGGGAAGGGCACTCTCCATGCCTCCCCACCCCAAAGTGCCTTCAGATGAGCCTTTCGTCCTGCAGTCATCCTGGCTCAAACACAGAAGTTAATGGATTTCCCATCATCACTCATCATGTGCACCATTTCTCCCAGAAGAAATTTAAAAAAAACCTCTTAAGAAGTACAAAGTAGAAGAGTTGCATGATGCCTTTGGATCATTGGTAATGCTAGGAGCTCTCCATCTGGAAACCCAGGAATGCCCATATATGCACACTTTGTGTCTCTCTGCAAAAAAAGCAGAGATGCCCTGTGCCAGAGTTAAAGCAGCTGTTGCTTTCTCTGGGTCAGAAGCTGGAAAATGTAGCTGAGAACTGGACAAATTCACGAAGGTTATCAGTGACCGCTAACCCTGATGACTGTTTGCTGCTTCCACCATCACAATAGGCATGGGGAAGTATCCCCTGGCCGTGTAGCATTGCATTCTCCATCCTACTGCCGGGCTTCCATTGGCAGCGGGTTGGCCACTGTATGAACAAGATGCTGCACCAGATGGATCCAGCTTGAATCTTCTGTGTTCAGCACTGTTGCTGAGGAGTTGCCAAGTAAGTCTTGGTTGTTCTCCTCTTCTTTTACTCTGAGCCAACAATATGCTCTTTGGGGCAGCAGGACACATCCTTCACTAGGCAGACAGATTATTCTCAATCTCAGTTCCTCTCGCACAGGCTTCTGCCCTTACGTGGCCTTCTCTGGACAAGACGCGATGTTTGTAAAATGCCGTGTCTGGTTCTTCCTGGCCTGATGCCAACAATTATATGCACAGCCTTCCTGATCATTGCCTCTAAAGCTTCTGCCTTGGACGATCTTCCTGTAATCCAGCTCTCAACCACTCTCCTAAATGGCTCCCAGGTGGAGCAATTATTTACTTTCAAGCAATGTGAATAGGCTGTTTGCTCTAAAAGTGGCCATGAAGGGTAGGTGCTTATAGCATTGTTAGACAGCATGCAATGAAACAGATGTCCAGACTTTTGAGCCCCTACGCAAGCACAGAGTTACTTCCACATACCCCAGCTAAGTTTCATGGTAGCATTTACTTGCTCAGAATGCAGCTGCCACACTGGGGCATCCAAAGCGAACAAGCAAAGACCGTTGATGGAAATATGGGTGGGGAGGTTAATTGGCGTTTATGGAAGTGGTTTTATTCTGCACTCCATAATTGTATTACAGTTTTATTGTATGTAATTTGTACATGACCGGGTTTTATTTTTAATTGTTGTCAGTTTCATTGACTAAATTTTAGAAGAAAAGCGAGGCAGAAATAACAAACCGACTGACTAGGTGCACACTTTTATCTCCTCCTGCTGAACACAGTGGCAGGAAATTGACGAGCATTGCCTCGTGTTGCCAGTTTCTGTCCCTGCAGAGTAGTGGGAGGGGTCTGGGACTTAACTATTTCCATATGGATTTCATCATTTCTCATTTTCATCTATTTTGCCATATAAAAATGACTTAATAGATGTAAGTGAATCCCTGTAATTAAGACCCCTAAGCATGGAAAGAGATGCCAGCAGTAGGTAGGGCAGGATGAGCAAAAGATGCAAACCCTGCGGATCAAATGGACTCTCTTGAGCATTTGAGGTGGACAGCAAACTCCCTAGAGCAGCCTTCCCCAAGCAGGTGCCCTCCAGAATCATGCCCCCATAATCCCCAGCCAGCATTCGCAAGGGCCCATTTTAATGCTGGCTGGATTTTTTTTTTTTTTTTTTTTTTGCATTTGTTTTAATATTGTAAACCCTCTCAGGGCCTGCTGAAGGCTAAAAATACAGTATATAAATTATGTTATAATGAGATTAATTTAGGAATACGTGGAACCATTCTTGAAACTCCTCAGCAGAATCAAGCAGCAGAGGAGCCAAAGCTTTGTAAGTCAACCCAAAACTAAAGAGTTATCTTTTATAACTACAGCACTTTCTGTTTGCTTGTTTGGTTTGTTGGTTGTTTTTGTTTGCTTTTCCACCTCCTCTGCATTTGGGGAAATGGCCTTTTCATGTAGTTTAGTTGCTCTAATATGAAGATTGATCTCAAAAGCCCCTGTGTACTTCTAGAAGCTCTTCAAACGACCCTTGGGCTCCAGGCCATAACATAAGTATTTGTATACATAACAATCCAGAAATAGCTTGGCCATGCAGTGGCCTTGCTGTATGCAAACCTTTTCCACATCACCTTTTGAAAGCACAAGGGTACGTAGGACTACAACCAGTTGCATGTGGAGAGTGGCACCCAGGAGAGAAAAATCACTATTTCTCAATCAATGAAGATTAGAAATAAATCATGGTGATGACTGGAAGAGGTGATACTGGCCATGTGGAGGGGGCTGGCTAAGCGAATGTGCTAGGCGGGATGCAGAGTACAGACTGGGGTGGGGTGGTTCAACCAGTTGGGTGTGAAAGTCCCAGCTGGGCCATGGGGCAAAGACTACACAGAGTCGCTGTTTGGAGCCCACATTTTGAGGTATGTCCAAGTATCTCTTCTGAGTAGCCCAAGAGAAGAGCTCACAACCACCTTGCACAAGAAAGTGTCAGACCTGAGAGTTGGCATCCAGTGTGCCATTGCCTTGCCAGTGGTAAAATCCAGAGAAGACATGGAGGTGGAACAGGGAAGCAGGGAGCCACCGAATGGTGTTGGTTCTATGGATGAGGCTGCAGCTTCTGCAGGGGTTGCAGAAAGGGTGAAAAGAAGCCTGTTGGCCTGGTGGAGGAGTGCTCAACACAGACTCATGTCCAAAAACCAAGCAGTGAGATGTGCTGACACCTTGGCTAGCAAACAAGAGTCTCCATCTCTCCAGAAACAGAAAATGTCTGATAGCCAAGAGAAGCTGGGTGAAATTTCCTTGAACTGAAATGTCTTGCCAATGAAAGCGAAGACGCCCATCATGGCTGGAACAGCAAAGAAGAGGTATCCATCTATCAAGGGGAAGTGCACAGAGAACCTGGAGCTGGAGAAGATGCAACAGTTGAAGCAAGAGATGGCTCAGGAAGAATGAGGAGTCTCCAAGAGCTGCCCTTGTTGGACCAGGGCAGCCTGTGAAGCCAGTAAGCCACATCATCAAGCCAGTTGCCTTCCACTTCTGCTCAGACAACAGGATTAAACAGCATGGGGAAATCCAACCTGGCATGGAGTATTTGGAGGTGGATTTCACAGCAGCCCAGAGGAGACACCCAACAACTCCAGCCTGAGCAGCCAAGGGACCAACAATCCCAAAGCCCTTCAACTTATGCCAGGGCAACAAATGGAAGCTGCCTCAGAGTATGTGTTGTTGGCTCAGTAGGTTCAAAACTTCCAGGGGTGCTCTCCCCTTCTGAGGAGGTGAAACGAGGAGAGAGAATCTATCCTGTAGGCATGGCACAAAGCACACCAGTGAAATCCAGGCTGGCCAACCCCACCTGGAAACCGTCATCTGCAAGAGTTCCACTGAGGATGCAGTGGCTTGAGCAATAAAGGGGCCCCTGAACCTCTTCAGCTTATCTCAGGAAGGAAGATTGAGGAGGCTGCCTCAGAGTATGTGTCAGCTCAGCAGGTTCAAAACTTTCAGAAGCACACTCCTGCAGAGGAAAGAGGAGAAAGCTCCTGGAAACTGAGATGGCCACAGAAGGGTGCACCTGAAAATGGTAGGTGTTTGAGAGCCAACTGGCAGAGCTTGAATCAGAGAAGGTGCACAAAGCCAACCCCATCCACAAGTACCAGTATGTGGAGGTCAAGCCCAGCAAGGAGCCTCTGGGAAGTGCTGAAGTCTCCCATCTTCTCTGACCAATATTGGCATTGATGTGAGACCACATGGAACGGACATCTGTCTGTCTGGGTGCATGAAGGAGAGCAGGCTGCCACACTCAGCAGGCATTCTTCATGCAGACACTTTCTTAAACTCCAGCTTGAGAGTATTTATTGTAGCTTAATCTCACAAGGCAAAGGACCAGACTTTGTTCCAATTTTTTGCACTTTTGGAACCTGTCTGCAATGGTTAGTGGCTTTTTCACAGGCCTATTTGTATGTTCACCAACAAACTATTGTATACTTGAGCTAAAGAAATAATGCCACTTGTTTGGCTCTGCCCCTCAGGAGGAGTAGGAGGCATTTTTCTGTTTTCTCCCAAGCATGAAAGCAAACCCCCAAAGCACCTTAGATGGCCCCTGCCCTGTAAATAGCATCCCTTGAGCTTGAACTGACAAGAGCTCCTCTGGGTTTTTGTATGGTCTCATTTCCTGGTGCTGTACAGGAACTGCATTCTAAATAAATCTATACATTATTACATACAAATGAAAAATATGACTGCCTAATAATACCTGGGTCTAGGTCTGATATGAACATAAGTTCTCATACGTAACAATATTTTAACAGTAAATTTAAAGAGAGCACACTGGTTCTGCAAAACAAGCATGTGATTAAATGTTACTTAATGGTTTGCATAGGAAATAAACAATCCAGGTAAACAGACAAAATTTGTGCCTGTCTCTGTCAAAAGCCTGTTCTGTATATGGAGCATTTCTACTTTCTGGATCTTCACTTGTGATTTGAATGGAAATATAACACACAAAAAGTATCCAGGTGAAGCTTTCCTAGCACTTACTCCATGACCAAAAAATACAACAACTCCACAGCCTTGTTTTCTATATATGAAGCAGCTGCTAGAGGCAAAAAAGGCGTGGGGAGGAAAGGAGCTTTATAGGGGTTAATGCAGGTTAGATGGAGGGGGAGTGTTTTAAAGGCTGCTTCAGGAAAACAAAAATTGTGCCAAAGCTTCCATCCTGACAGTTTATACCAACAAAGTCTAACTAACAAAGTTTGACAAACAAAGCAAAGCACAGTATGCACATTACAAGAACAAAAAGAGTGCCTGGGCCATTAAAAAAAACAGCAAATGGCATGGAAAGCAGGGCAGGGGAAAAGCGCTGGGACATTCAAGACTCTTGTTTGTCAAGACAGGGATGGTGCTTGGTACTCCATTATTTTCTAATCTTGTCACCTATAGGAATAGTTCAATGATCTGTGAATCAGCTAATGAGGAGTCGTTTGCTCTAGGTTACCATACTCCAAAGGCACAAAGTGGAAATTACATGGGAGGGGAAAGCAGCTTTGCAGAGCAGAAACACTTTAATTCGCACACTTTTCCTTTTGAGATGCTTTTTTCACTTCATAATGTGTAAAACACCACAATGAGAGCTAGAAAATTTGCAACACTAAAACAACATCAGTAAACACACTGCTCTTTTCAGGTCTTTCCAAGGTCCCTTCCAACTAAAATGCGCTGTGGTTTTATTCTGCTGGAGCTGATTAGGCAGAGGTCAGGAACCATCATGCTATAGAAACAAGATCCCTGTAATGACCAAGACACTGGACTAGATGACACCCCCAACAAGCCCCTTTCCTATATAACGATCCTCTGGATCCCATTCCAAATTCCAGGAGCTTCATTCCAAGCATCTGCCATGGAGTTACAGTGAATAACTAATATCTTCCAGCAACTTGAAATTAGCATCTTATACATCAGGGCAGAAGGAAAGTAGCTTGCAATTTCAATTATACATGACTGTACCTCTTTCTCTTAGGTCCATAATGTAGGCTTTCATAAATTCTTTTTCAAACAGCTCACGATCACGGTCACTTTCTGTTATTTCTTCAATCTCTTGAAATGAGATTGTTTCAAGAGGGTTATCCTTGAGGCTTATAAATCTGCAAAAAGATGAAATATTAGTATGAAAGGGGTATATAATGCTTCTTATCATGAGCAGGCTGTAACTTGCTATATGCCAAATGATTTATGGCCCTATAAATTTTCTGTTCTTCCTATGTTGCTACAGAGCTAAGTCAATTTATCTGTGGGCATAATTTAGCTACACTGTTCATGGGCATGTTAGCCACAGGTCTTTAATGCTAATTAGCTATAATAAATGTTAATTCAGAGGTGGCCTTGTGGAGGCAGACATGTAAAACACTAAGAGCATATGCTTAATTATTGAATCAAAAGGTGCACTTCCCATCTGCTGTGAAGCATGTAAACAGTTTACACACCACCCTGCGAGTCCACAAGTAATGCTTTGTATAACCATGTTGTTGCTTTAAAAGAAAAGTGTTTTAACTCTTGAGAGAAGATTAGGAAGGGGTAAATGCCTAGATTCTTCTGTGAGAAATACAGCTCTGTTCCTCTGATGCTTCCAGTGTTTGGTACTCATAGAAGAACATAAGAAGGACTATGCTGGATCAAAACAAAGATCTTTCTGGTCCAATGTTCCCTTTCCATAGTGGCTAACCAGATGCCCAAATGAAAAGGACAAGACAGGCAGTAGCACTTTGCCACTCGTGTTGTCCAGTAGCTGGTATTTGAGAGGTAAATAACCCTTGATATTGGCTGTTAACCTAGCCATCTTGACTAGTATCCCTTAATAGCAAATTTCTCCATGAATATATCACGTACATCATATTTCCCAAGAAAGAGAAACAGCCAAGATTGTTGACTATGCAAGCCAAATCCTTAAACAAGTGGTCCATTGGAACTGTCTGGACTTGGCAGTTAAGCACTTGGCATGGAATAATCAGTTCAAGTTGTGACAATCCAGATTCAGGCTGGACATCAGGAAAAGCTTCCTCACTGCCAGAGCAATATGACAGAGGAACCAACTGCCTAGAGAGGTGGTGGGCTCTTCCACACTAGAGACATTCCAAAAGAACCTGGACAGCCATCTGAGTGGAATGGTGTAACTTCTTGTCCTGAAACAGCAGGGGGTGGACCCAATGGCCATCATGGCCCCTTCCAACTCTACTATTCTATGCTTCTATGTTTCTGTGATTCTAAGTATAGATTACAGAATTAATTGAGCTAGTCAATTTGTTATCTTATTTGCAAATGAAGTCAAAATGCCTAGTGATATCACATTACTAACCACAACATGCAAATACTTGCTACTCCCTGGTTGATTTCTAACCTAGCTTACCTCTGTCTTACATGTGAACAGCCTTTCACATTTAAGATCTCTCATAGATCTGGAATCAAGATATGGGACTAGATAATTGGGGTACACTATGAGCAACTGTGAAAGCTGGACCATAAGGAAGGCTGAGCGCCAAAGGATTGAGGCGTTTGAATTGCGGTGCTGGAGGAGACTCCTGCGAGTCCCTTGGACCACAAGGCAATCAAACCGGTCAGTCCTAGAGGAGGTCAACCCTGACTGCTCTTTAGAAGGCCAAATCCTGAAGATGAAACTCAAATACTTTGGCCACCTAATGAGAAGGAAGGACTCCCTGGAGAAGAGCCTAATGCTGAGAACAATAGATGGCAAAAGAAGAAGGGGACGGCAGAGGATGAGGTGGCTAGATGGAGTCACTGAAGCAGTTGGTGTGAGCTTAAGTGGACTCTGGGGGATGTTAGAGGACAGGAAGGCCTGGAGGAATGTTGTCCATGGGGTTGTGATGGGTCGGACAAGACTTCGCAACTAACAACAACAACAAAAATGAGCAACTGAGGCTAAGCTACAGGATAACCAGCAGTTCAACTAAATTCTGCCAGCCTGAGTGTGAATAGACTTGCTACCAAGAACTTCCAAAGGTATGTCCAGATGAGACTTTTATTGTATACTCCCTCATTAAAGTATTTTTATACGGTGTCCAGGCATCATCTATATTCAGTGTATAGCCCTCTCATGTTTTCCTATTATTTCTTCCATCTTTTCTCTTGAAAGAAAACATCTGTTAAGGAAGCACAGATGGAATAGCCACACAAATGCCTTTAAGCTCAGCGATGAGCATCCTCTGGTGTCCAAACTAGCTTCCAAGTTTCCTACCTGGACCAGGGAAGCTTTGGCTCCCTCCCTCCCAAAGCCTTCCCCATTTCCACCACAGGGTTTTGCCCTGGTGGCATCACTTCAACTGTATATACACTGAAACACTCTTCTCTCATTTTAACAATTTTGGGATAGGTCGACATGCAGAAAATGCCTTGTGATACCTTAGAGAAAAACACATTCATTGTGGCATGAGTTGTTAGGGGACTATAGTCCATTTTATCATATGACCCATTTGACTGCATGATTTCCCCTGCCCTTTTAATACTCTTTCACCCAGTTTGGAGAAAGCTTCTTGGAGTGCCTCACAATCTCTTCTGGTTTTTACCACCGTGAGCAACAACAATAGCAACAGAAATAACCGCACATTTTCCAAGGATGCCAGTATCACATTGCAGCCAAGAAAGCATGGCTTAATCATGTGTGTGTGGGTGTGCGTGTGGATTGAATTAGATTTTGTGAAGGTATTGCACGGATATATCCCATCTATTGCTGAAATGAATATATCCAGGACAAACGGGGGAAGGAAATATGAACACACACATATTATTTCACATTTTTAATATACTTACTTCAAACCTGTGGTTGATTCACAAATAGCTGTGGGCATCTGAACCAAACCATCACCACTCACAACCAGTAAACTGAGTTTTGACATGTTGACCAAAGCTTGTGGAAGGTAAGTCAGTTTGTTTTTGTGCAGGAGAAGGGTTTGTAATTCTTCTAGCCTTGAGAGATAAACAGAGGAGCATAGTTAAATGCAAAATATTCCACAGTTGATCAGCTGTGGTTCTGTACTTTAAAAGAGTTTGTCCATATTCCTACTTTCCCCTGCCAAAAAGAGAAGGATGACCCTACCCTTTGCTACCAAGTCAACAAAGAGTTACAACTGATTGGCAGTTTGAAGAAGGGAAAGGCAATGAACATCAATGCATTATCTTCCAGTACAGCCTTTATGAGTCCTCCAGTGTATGCATGCCCCCTTGAGGATAGGAGGACACCCCACAACACCTAAATTAAACAAGACCAAAGGCTGGTTCAAGTAATCTGCTTTTATGGACTTACTGTCCTCAAACATTGCCTGTGCATTTCTTTCCTAGGGGAAGGGGGCTGTGAAAACCAAGCCATATTCACTCTTTTTCTCCTCTTATGACCAGTATGCAAATAGAACTCACCACATTTCTCAAAGGGGACTAGATGCTAACGTACAAAAGAGTGATGCATTTCTATTTTTTTCTTTCTTTTATAAAACCCAAACTGACGTGATCATTGCAATTCTGTAAACTTTTTATCCTGCAGACTATGTACCACTATTTACCACTATGCCATGTATCACCATGAGGGTCATAATTGTATTTATTCATGGCATGACTTTCAAATCCCAAAAGACTTAAGGCTAAACTACATTCTAGCTAGAATGCTGTAACTTTTTGGAGGAAACATTTAATTAATTGATTAATTTCTATACCAGCCCTTAGTCAAATTACTCTCTAGGCATACATTAAGGTTGGCTTTTCCAACTTTGTTGGACTACCACTTCTATCACCCCCAGCTAACTTGTCAGGGATTGTCAGGGATGATAAAAGTTGTAGTCTGAAATATCTGGAGGTCACTAGAATGGAGTAGTTTGGATGGGACAAGTGTGGTGTTCAAAAGAAGGCAGTAGGTATGGTTTCCCTGAGAGATTTGAATATTTTTGCAAATCCTAGACTTTGTGACTGGCACAACAAAGAATAGGCAGATAATCTTCAGACCTGTAATACTTCCAGATGCACACAGTATAGTCAGCCAACACTTTATTTGCTAAAACCAAATGTCACTGCAAAGAAAACACAAAGAACAACCTGTCTATGTCTTGTGGGAGATCTTTGAGGTTGTTGCTGCTCATATCCAGCCACTGCAAACTTGACATTCGGAGCACACATATTGGAATTGAAGGGAATTTGTTTGCTGACACATCTACAAATGTCATTTGTTTCAAGTTACTAAGCTGTAACAAAAACATACCAGGTTATAAAGCATTCAGCTCATCTTCCATCAACTGATGAGTGGAAAAAGAAAACACGGTTTGTTATGCTTATGAATAAGCCTACCAGTTTCAAGCTACTGTGGAATGGACAGATCAATTTAATCCATCTTTTTTTCTGGGAAAATCAGACTCCATGTATTAATTATTAGAATAGATACAGATCAAATACATTAATCACGTTGGATGACCTTAATGTGAGGGGGGGAACTGTGAATGATTCTTTATAAGACATTATATGTACTAGAAAGTATTAGAAATTGTTGAGTGTGGATAATACGACAAAGATTGAACCTTTTAAAAAAGTAAATGACAAAAGTATATATTTGATTATGGTAGTTCCGGGTTTTCTGTCAGAATGAAGAGAAACAATTAATGTAACCTTGATAAACAGCTGCATGCCATTATTCTAGGAATAACAGTATATTTTATCACAGCTCTTTCCAGAATCAAATGCTCTGTATATCGCACAACAAATGCACTGCCATTTTTGTTTGTTGCATGGGAGATATATACATCTTCCCTAAGGGAGGTTTGTCTGTTCATGATCATCCCATTTTATCAGGGCTGAAGCAGCAAGAATATATTGCAGTTGAGGAAGTATTGTTATCTTCCTGCGTAGCAGCTTCTTTTGGACAGGGGGAAGAGGACCACAGGTCTGTAACTGCCCCGATGTGTTACTACCTTCAGGATTTTAAAACCACATTATCTCTTCAATGGATATTCACTAGCCCTCTGTAGTGAATCTGGAGTAAAATACTTTTTATTTTATTTATTTTCTCTCCATTTTGGAAAAGAAAAAATGAAAAGCGATTGAGATTACCTTCCTCCTCAATGAAGAGATTTTGCTGCCTGAAACAAAGACCAAGATGACACACCTTTCCCTGTTACACATTCAGAAGCCCAATGGACTAATCGCTCCATGTTACCTCATCACTGGCAACAAAACAGTGGCAGGCAAGCATTAGGGGCACAGGGCAGACAACTCTGCTGATGCCAGAATGTAGGACACAGAATAATCAAGTCAAGCTGCGACAACCCAGATTCAGGCTGGACATCAGGAAAAGCTTCCTCACTGCCAGAGCAATACAACAGTGGAACCAGCTGCCTGGAGAGGTGGTGGGCTCTCCCACACTAGAGACATTCAAAAAGAAACTGGGCAGCCATCTGAGTGGGATGGTGTGACTTGGTGTCCTGCAACAGCAGAGAGTTGGACCCACTGGCCTTCGTGGCCCCTTCCAACTCTACTATTCTATGATTCCAGGAACTCTACCTTCCCACAAAGGGGGACAGCAGGGGTCTTGGGAGAAAAGGCTGCAGGAGTCCTCTCTGCCACCTCTCCCATCATGCGCACACAGCGAGCTGGTTTGCATGACAGGTGAGCCAATGACTCCATTTCTCCTTTCTCAAAGTCTGAAGTCCAAAATCCCCCTGCCTCTTCTGCATCCTCCAATTAATTCAGATCCGGGAGATCACACCAAGAACAACTGGCTTTTTCATTCCCAACTCTTCCTTGGGAGCACACCCTGTGGAACATAAGGAGTAATGTGCATAGGACTGTGCTGATGACTACCATCCTGTCCACTTTTAGTTGGACTGAATTTGGTGGGATTAACATATAAACATGCATGAACCTGAACATTTCAAAGCACAAGGCAGATGATCCAGGTCCAGGCAAACACATTTAAATTTCATGTGCCCCAGGGATAAACACTGGTCATTGCTTCCTTACATATGTTAATTAAATGTGCACTCTCTCCCATGGAAATCAGTGGAGCAGAAAAGAACTTAACTTTGCCCGTATCACAGGCATTATATTAAAATCAATTGGGCTTAATTTCAAGAAATGGATTAAAGTCAGAATTTTAATGTCTCCAGTAATTTAGGAGAGTGGCATAGGATAATGTTTTGCCTTTAATTTTTCTGGAGAGCAAAAGATGCCTGAAAGCCAAGAAATCAAATTAATCCTTTTCTTGGAAAAGGCACAATAGAAGTAAACAGATAGAAGAAATAATGGGAAAGAGTTTAAAATAAGGTATTCTTTTGATACTGGGGGTTCAGTCCACAAATTCCATGTTAACTTCTTTGGGAGAAGTGAGAAAATAAAGGAAGAACTTGTGTGGGACACACTGCCAGCAAAAGAAATATGTGATTGAGGCAGCACAATGGCACAATGAAAGCCCTCTCTTTAAAGCACCGGGAGGGAGCAATCCTGTGTCCCACACAGGGGCCACAGGATATTTTAGATTTTCAGATCTGAGGTCAGAGACAGTATGGCAACCTCAGAACTAGAATTGCCAAGTTCCCTCCCTCAACTCCTTATAGTAAGAACTACACCATATGCTCTGCACAGTCAATAGAGCAACTGGCTTTACAGAGAGATGGGGAGAAGGGCATATTTTGCTGGGCAGGGTAGAGGTAGCCTGGAGAAGACAGGACATGAAGTATCCTGGAGCTGTTCCAGAAGTCAACAAGCTCTAGGTACTAGTCAAATTCTTTACTTTGAAATCTGCCCATTCCAATTTGGATGTTGCTTTAACACGGTGTAGAAGTTTTCAGATGAAAAAGAGGATGGCAGCAACATGAGGTTGGAGTGGATGAGAGACCGAGGGGACATCCCTGGGTGCGCTTCCCAGGCATCCCACACAAGCAAGCCCAGCAGCAGGCCACTAAAATATTTTTCTAGGCTGTTCCAACAGTGCTGGCATCCTGTAGCATTCCATTAAGAACATGTATCTAGCGTTCAATTGGTTACCATCAACTAAGGACCATTAGAGATCAGAAGGTCTGGGCATATAACACCATTTCTGGCCCGCTTGCACTTATGACAAAAGCTGTCCAGGCTGAAAAGCCTGGCCCTGAGGGGATCCTTCTTCAAACGCAGGCATTGTGGGAAGGCTGTCCCAGGAAATCACCTACATCTAGCCTTGGAAACACTCCTTTTGTATAAAATTTCCCATCACAAATACAGGGGATGAAGGTAATGGGGAAGTAAAATTAATCTTCCCCAAAGAATATAACTCTCCTTCCTCATGAACCACTACACTCATCCTTATTTACAGGGTTTTCTTTTGTTTTGTTTTAGCTTAAGAAAGCCTATATGGAAAGAACAGAATCTTGAATTTCTGAAGATCTTGAAGATGGAGTTCCGTCCCAGTTTTTTCCAAAGCTCTGAACTGTGCTCCACCTTGAACTCATGAGTCCATGGTAGAGATATCAATATGCAAAATTAGGGAACACGTATAAAATCCCAACACTTGGCTACAATAGGATGTGGCAGTTCTGAATGAGGGCATATGCACTTGTACTGCACATGTACAGGTTACTGGTACTGAACTTCTATCACTTCCTGTCCTTTAATTCCTAAAATAGAACAGATTCCAAGGCTAACAGAGAAGTGCACTTTACAGAGTAAGATTCAGACTTTTGCTATCAAGAAAAAGCTATTTGCTTACTCCAAGCAAATTAATGCTGGAAACAATTCCTCTACTTTCAATACCTTGATATACCCAGCTGAATACACAGAAACCTATCTAGATAATGTGTCTTTAGTTATCAAACTCTACAGTGTGGCTAGAGGATCATGAATTTATTCCCAATTTTCTTAATTTTATATTGCAAAAAGTAGCTCTCTTGTACTTTATAAGCCCTTAGAAATGGGATTTGACAAAAAATATGAAGGAATAGCCTAACATGAGAGAGATCAAGCTTGGGTTTGTTGTTCCTCAGAATATATGGGGTTGATGATTATACCGTGTAAAGAACAGCTCCTCTGGGTTCTTTCCTTTCAGGCTATATTTAACCAACTCTGTCCAGCTTGCATAATACATTGAAACCAAATGGAGGTTTTATTTAATCTTTTTTCCTCCCTGAAATGCTAACAACAAATCCCTGAGGTTTAAGACACAGAGGAAATTATGGCAACTGAGTAATATATTTAAAAAAGGAAGTTCTATACATTTTATTTTCTTTAGACTGATGGAGTTTTCCACCTCTGGTAACATTTTATTTTTTAAACAAGTACACCAGCCTTATCATTTTTACCTTGGCAGTTTATTTTTCCCCCTTTCCCTTCTCTCTCTCTCTCTCGCTCTTGCTCTCTCTCTCTCTCTCTTTGTTATCCAACTCTGAATCAGTCATAATGTAAGCTTTGTGCAAGCTTCATTTTATAACCTCACTATATTTGACAGTCAAAGTATCCGGCCACCATTACTGCTGTCCTGATTTTTAATCAAAATAGTCATCTTTATTTGACAAATGACCTATATTTCTGCTTATCTTAATAATATTTCTTCAAAATATTGCTTCCGCCCCATCCCAGAGACTCCATTGCTTCCCAATTCTCTGGCAGTTAAAGTTTCAGCTGAGAGAAAAGGACGCCATGTCCGTGCACGGAAAGAATTGTTTGATTAATGGGTGTGTTTTCAATTCGGGTTTTTTGTTTTTTGTTTTTGTCATTGAAAAGGATTTGCTGATAAGGTTGCTTGCCTGTAGTTTTAGCATAAACTGCCCACTGTATGGCATTTTGAAAGATAGAGGGCTGTGATCTTTCGAGTTGCTGGTCCCAACCTCATGCTATACCTCTTAAAGTCACCATCATGAAATGCATTTATTGCATCCTGATTTTGCATGCAGTTCTATGGGATTGCTTCTCATTGGACAAACTCATCCCTTGCTCCTCTTGACCGTCGGCTGGCATGGGGGAAGGAGGGCCAAAGCGATTTTGCCTCCTATATCACCTCTTCCTCAACCACACCCCTCTCAGCTACAAGGGTCTTTGAACCCTAGCAAACATACCAAAAGTGGATGAGGAAGAGTGATGGAGCTGCCATGAGATTCTACAGATCCTGGCTTATCCTTTCTTTTGTTGACCAGAACAGCCTTTTTACAACTTCTGTGAGACTGTGGGAAAGCACTCGATGCTGCTCTTTCCATGATAGGTTGGGATGCAATGCTGGATCGCC